CAGCACACCTCGCTTTTCAGACCGATGAGATTTGTAAAAATCGACGCGTTTCAGAAAGTCGGGGCATAGAGGAGAACAAATAATGTACAGTATGTTGAAAATAATGTTTTTAGAAGCTTAAACTGCATAAACACATTTCATTACACGAAATACACAAAATAATGTTCTTTTTAGCAACATCATATGACCCCTTTAAGAGGAAACACCCACTTTTCTAAGAATTTTCTTTGAATTTTGTCACTAGGAGCAACTCTTTGCACTAAGAATTTTCATGAATATGGGCCCATATAGACCATGTATTGTGAAACCAAGCTATGTTTATACAATATTATACAATGTTAAAGGGGTCATATGATGTTGCTAAAAAGAACATTATTTTGTGTATTTGGTTGCATCCAGTGGGGACATAATTACGGATTATAATGACTTATAATGTCTTTTTACGCTTTGCGTTGCATCGTGCTGCGTAAACATAAAACCATGTCTGCATTTGTGATCAGAGAAATGACAAACAAGCGCTACTTTACACTGCTCAAAAATCGCGTTTGAATCATCAGTGGCAAATCCTTTAAATATGAAAACGTACTTCCAGTCTGTGAGTCAGAACAGCCGGCATTGTAGTCTACTCTCCCAGGAAACAGTCCTCCATAAAATATGCTGCACACATCTGAATATTTGGGTTGAACTGTTGTGGAACAGTGTTGTAAATACAACTTAACCACTGATTTCCAGTCGATATCGTCCTCTTTTGGAAGGCCAAACAAAGTAGTTTCGCTTTCACAACGAAACACAGCACCTTCACGACATGGCGGCAACAACAATACTAAAGTGAGAATAAAAGTTACGCCTTCTTTCTTTACGTGAACATTTGGGCGGCGTTATGCATATCTTTCCACATCGTGACGTAGACATGTGGGGGCGTGTTAGAACGAGCCGTTTTAGGTAGGCGTGGTTGACTCTTAACTTTTATAAAGAATATCTCTTTGGATTTGAGGCTTTAGTCTTTGCAACTTTACAGATCTTCTTTATGCACCAAGAGCTTGTAACACTCCAAAGAGAAAGGAAAAATTGAAATCGCATCATATGACCCCTTTAAATGGACCTCGGGGGTGAACATTTTTTTTAAATGTTCGATATGGTCCCTGTAAAAATTCCACTTACACTTATTTTGTTCTCCAGGTTGAGAAGAAAACGTGATCTTTCTAACAAGTGTGGGAGGTGGAAGACAGGTTAAAATCATGGCAGTTGGGTGGAGACCAGCCACCCTTATTTTTGTCTTCATCCTGACATTCCTCTGCCCCTTGGATGGAACCATGTACTTCTCTGGCCAGAGACTGAGTTCTCGACTTCAGAGGGATCGCCGAAATGTTCGTCCAAACATCATTCTCATTCTTACTGATGACCAGGACATTGAACTCGGTGCGTTTCCCATTTGTGTTTCTCTTTGTATGTGGGTATGTTTTTGTGTCGTTTGTGAGTATGTGCATACTGTGACATCATGTATGAGTTTGTATGATTCACAATTCATTATCATATAATTTTATTATTTTCTTAGCATAAGGGCATCTTACACATTCAGTCCATTCATCAGCCAACTGCTGAGGTCCACTGTGCCAAACATGCTGTTTTTCTACTCGTTTTTTGGCACTTTAATCACTGAAGTGGCAACATAATGGCCTTGCTGCTGGTCTTTGTTCAGGCTTTTCATTCAAACCCTTTTAGGGAGGAAATTTATGGTTAAGCATCTGTTACATAAAACAATCTGGATCTCTTTTTCTCTGTCTCACTCTTTTTCGAATCTACATATATATTCCCTGTTTTTCCCTAAAGGCTCAATGCAGGCCATGAACAAAACAAAGCGCATAATGATGCAGGGCGGCACTCACTTCTCCAATGCGTTTGCCACCACTCCAATGTGCTGCCCTTCTCGATCTTCCATCCTGACTGGGAAATATGTGCACAACCACCATACCTACACCAACAACGAGAACTGCTCATCACCGTCCTGGCAGGCTCACCATGAACCGCACACTTTTGCTGTCCACCTCAACAATTCAGGCTATAGGATGGGTTAGTAGACAGCATGTATTTGTGTGCAGTAGTTTTACAACACAGAGCTATGTTCAAAAACTGCTTTTAGTTAGAGGAATAGTTCATCCAAAAATGCCAAAACTCCCTCAGGCCATCCAAGATGCAGATGAGTTTGTTTCTTCATCAGAGCAGATGTGGAGAACTTTAGCATTACATGACTTGCTCAGCAGTGGATCGTCTGTAGTGAATGGGTGCCGTCAGAATAAGAGCCCAAACAGCTTGTTAAAAATATCACAACAATACAAAAGTAATCTACATAACTCTAGTCCATCAGTTAATTTCTTGTCAAACAAAAAAGTGCGTTTGTAAGAAACAAATCCATTATTAAGGCATTTTAATTTTAAACCATCGCTTCTAGCCAAAATACCATAATTCGTAATAATGTCTTCCCCAGTGAAAAATACCTATTTGCTTAGAACTATTTTGCAGTGTTTTTTCTTGTAAGCATTGCTTGATCAGTGCATATTTCTCTCCTGATTCAGACAAGATGACATTTTCACTGGAGAAAGCTGTATTTTGGATATAGGACTCATATTTTAGCCAGAAGCAACAGTTTGAATTTAAAAATGTTGTAATGATAGATTTGTTTATTACAAACACATAGCTTTTCACTTCACAAGACATTAATTGAGGAACTGGAGTCGAGTGTATTACTTGTGGATTATTGCAATGTTTTTATCAGCTGTTTGGACTGGACAGCACCCATTCACTGCAGAGGATCCATTGGTCAGCAAGTGATGTAATGCTAAGTTTCTCCAATGCTGTTCTGATGAAAAAACTTGCTTACATCTTGGATGATCTGAGGGCGAGTAAATTCTCAGCAAATTAAAATTTTTGGGTGAACTATTCCTGTCTGACATTTTTTTATCTCAAAATAATTGCTTTCTGTTACAGCCTTCTTTGGCAAGTACCTGAATGAGTACAATGGCTCTTATGTGCCTCCTGGTTGGAGAGAATGGGTAGCACTGGTGAAGAACTCTCGTTTCTACAACTACACACTGTGCCGGAACGGTATCCGAGAAAAGCATGGCACCGACTATCCAAAGGTTGTCTCCTGTCTCATTTCAAAGAGGATGACTGAACATTGTATGATATTTACTACAGTAGAGTGTGTACTAGTACTGTCAAATCTGTTCAGCTCATTCACAGTATTTACCCAACATATTTGGGGTTGCACAATGTATTAGTACCATATCAGTTGTCAAACAATATTAGAGATTTTAGATATTGGGTATGTTCCTGGGGTATTTAAACGCTGCTCTTTTGAACTTTCTATTCATCAGAGAATCCTGGAAAAAATGTATGACAGTTTCCACAAAACTGTTAAGCAGAATGATTTCAACATTGATAATGATAATTAATGTTCCCTTTCGAACAGTCTCTCCCGTTGCATCGTTGCATTATGGGGAAACTCCTGTTTACTTTGATACTGAAGCCTGATTTGTTCACGTTCGTGTAACTTCATGAACCAATGGCACTTCAACCCGCCAAAAGGGGTGGAGCCGACCACCATATAAGTCGATTCTGAGCGCCATTTCATCAGAATTTTTCTCCTTCAGCGACAAAGATAATCTCCTCACTCCCTCTGCAAGCAAGAAGCCGAAGAAGAAGAAAGAAACTCAACCTGCTGCTCTCTGCCATGAGAAGAAGCCCCCTGCAGCGAAAGAATCCAGAAGCATTCCCCTGCGGCCATCCGGCACCTATTAAAGCAAGTTTCTGAGCAAATTTTCCCAGCAACGTTGTTGCAAAAGTTGCGACACAAGTGTGGCTCGTGCAAGGAACCCCTGCACAATGCAGATGGACACGGTGAGTGAGTCGCCTGTCTGGGCAGCGCCCACGCAGAGGCTGTGTTCACCGGGACGGAGTGTTCTCACTGTGAGAACATGAGTCTTTCCCTTCTCCACTCGTGGATCACCTTCTTCCATGAAGGCGGGCCTCCCCGGCCTGCTCTCACATTTTCTACCTCCCCTAGGAGGAAACAGCAGAGCAGAGCAGCTGGGCTCAAACACCAGGCTCGAGTGAACTCACGCTGGCACAGGTCCCGCATGCTTCACTCTCCCCGCAATGCCTCAACTTCAGCTGCGACTTTGATTCACTTCGGCGGGTCTGAGGAGGAAGCTTTTGTGGATGACTCTGTGTCATTGACGGCTTCAGATACAGAAAAGTGGGCGTGTTCCGCCGAAGAACCCGACATCCCTCCTCCGACGCAAGCAACATGGCCCAGCATGAACAGCGAGCTGATACGCACCAGGCGCACCCCCTACTTGGCCCGTGTTAATCCTTCTACTTCTGCCACACTCACCACTGTTGACGGCGCTGAAGAACAAGGTTATAGCAAGCTCCCACATCTGGAAGAGGCAGTAGCTGTGCATCTGTGCCCTCCATAGGCCCTAAGGGTTTGAAAGCCCATGCAGCGCACCCATCTAAGCCTTGCAGGACTACCTCAGCCCTAGCGAACTGGGCTTATTCAGTGGCTGGCCAGTCTGGCTCAGTGCTTCACAAGATGGAGGTGATCCAAGCGTTCCAGGCCAAACTTCTCCGCACCATGGACGAATCCGACCAGATGATGCCTTAAGAGAGCTGCGCACAGCGACTGACTTGGCTCTGCGCGGTAGTAAGGCCACTGCACAGGCGAATGGTAAGGCCATGACCAACTTGGTGGTGCTGGAGTGCCACCTTTGACTAAATCTAATGGAGACAATGTGATGAGATTCGTTTTATGTCTCTCGTGACTGGCCAGTCAATCGGCAGAAACAACTGAGTCGTTAAGTTTCTGAGGAGAGCTCGGAGATTGAATCCGCCTCGCTCTCATACTGTGCCTACTTGGGACTTATCTATAATCCTCAGGGCCCTACGGGGCCCTTCCCTTTGAGCCGCTTCAGTCGGCCGACTTGCGGCCCCTGATGCTTAAGACAGCCCTCCTTCTGGCTTTTGTGTCGGTCAAGCGAGTGGGTGACCTGCAAGCACTGTCAGTCAGTGCTTCCTGTCTTGAGTTTGGGCCTGACGACTGTAGAGGCGTCCTCAAACCAAGGTACGGCTATGTGCCAAAAGTGCTCTCCACTCCATTCCGAGCACAAGTCATCACCCTTCTAACGTTCCCCAATTCAGAAGGTGAGTAGGGTGCTAATCCACTCTGCACAGTATGTTTGTTAAGCACTCTGGCACATTTAGGGAAACAGGGCAGCTCTTTGTATGCTTCAGAGGCCACTCTAAAGGGCTGCCGGTTACAAAGCAGAGACTATCTCGCTGGATAGTGGAGTGCTAGTGCTATAGCCCTGACTTGCGCCTCAGTGGGCTTGCAGTGTCCTATAGGTGGCGGAATGGCCTCCTCCTGGGCTTGGTCCAGCGGGATTTCTATTGGTGATATTTGCTGGCTGGTCGTCACCATCTACCTTCACCAGTTTTTATAACTTGGACGTCCCTGCCCTGCAGGCATGAATTTTGTCCGCTTTATTCTATCTAAACCTCTTTGTAAGTGAAGAGGGTTATGTCATGTAGTCCTCAGCCTAAGCGGCTTGGGTCTCATTATTGGCTCATGCTTATAGGAGCCCTCAGTGCGGGTGCTCCAGTGCTGGGCTTGCAGAGTGGATTCGGTCTGCTCCTGCTTATAGCACGGCTCTATTGGATGCGTTACCCATAAGCGTCAGTGACGCAATGTGAGAGACCGTTTGAAATGGAATGCTCCGGTTATTAATGTAACCTCGGTTCCCCGAGATAAGGGAACGAACATTGCGTAGGCCGCCATGCTATAAGGCTGCACACGAATCTATGACTGTCGCTTCAGTCAAAAGATTCTGACGAAATGGCGGTCGGCTCCACCCCTTTTGGCGGGTTGATGCTCCATTGGTTTGTGCAGATACACGAATGTGGACAAATCAGGCTTCAGTATCAGAGTAAACAGGAGTTTCCATAAGCATCAGCGATGCAAATTTTGTTCCCTTATCTCAGGGAACCGAGGTTACGTTAGTAACTGGAGCGTTTCTTGAACACCAAATCAACATACTAGAATGATTTCTGAAGAATCATGTGACACTGAAAACTGGAGTAATGGCCATCACAGGAATAATTAGCATTTTAAAATGTATAAAAATAAAAACTGTAATTTTAAATTGCAATAATATTTCACAATATTACTGTTTGTACTGTATTTTTGATTAAATAAATGCACCCTTGGTAAGCATAAGAGACTAATGTTATTTCTTTTACAGGACTATCTCACTGATGTAATCACAAACGACAGCATCAACTACTTTCGTATGTCAAAGAAGATGTACCCACACAGGCCTGTGATGATGGTCCTGAGCCACGCTGCCCCCCATGGGCCAGAGGACGCAGCACCTCAGTACAGCAGCGCCTTCCCCAACGCATCTCAACACATGTAAGACTTTCTATTTCTCTTCATCTTTCTTTCTCTCTCTCTCACACACACACTAAGAGAATTCTCAGTCTGCATGAACAGCTTTATGTGGTCTCATAAATCTCATTCAGTATCAATTTTTCAGTCTTCAGCACTTTATCAAATGTTCTCATGCCATTTGAGATATGACCACCTAATAAATAATGCTCACTGTATAGTACTGTAGCCACTATTCTCATTTCATACTAGCTACTTTTAATGAACCAACCCTTATGACTTATTTGCTCTTGGTTTATTGCAGGAACACAGGTTTGATTATATATTCTGTGTACAGTAATTGTTTCCATAGCGCCTCCGGCAAATGCGTTTATTAGGCTATATAGTTGGCTCAAGAGAGATATACAGTGCTATTATTATAATATCATGATTTATTTGTTGCATCGGTGTTCATTTGTAGGTCTCATTAGAGGTATAAACTCCATGGCTGGTGCATGTACTGTTATTTTTGTTTGATTTGTGGTTAGCGTTTCATTACTCTGCAATTTTTTTTCTTTTATATGCTGTTCTAAATTAGCATACTCATTTTTTGAAACGCATGCCCAATTACAAGTTTGCTGTTATTTTATTACTGTTTTTTATGATGATTTTTAGTTGCTCATTCTTAAAGCAGCAGCTGGTATATGCAATGCAACGTTATGCAAATCGAATATTCACAAACAACAGTGCAAACCAAAAGATGACAATGCATTGGCTTATTATTACAATATGGAACAGGATTTCAGAATTCAGCACAATGCACAGTTTTGCAACAATGACATTTTCAATCCGGAAACACAATGAAATTTCTCAGCAGTGTTATTCAGCAGGTTCAGCACCATGAAGCAGCACACAATGTACTACACACAAAGCTTCTCCATTCACAGATGTTTGTACCCTCAGGATATGCACAAAAAATAGGACTGACTCTAAATTCCCTTTGGCTACGATGTTAAGTTTTATTTATGAACTGTAAAGTGTATATACATTGTACAGTGTAACATTTGTAATATCTTCCAGTGGTACAGAAAACAGGTTTTAACAGTTCTGAAAATGTCCCACACAGAACCCCAAGCTACAACCATGCCCCAAATCCAGACAAGCACTGGATCCTGCGGTACACGGGACCCATGAAGCCTGTGCACATGCAGTTCACCAATATGTTGCAGAGAAGGAGGCTGCAGACCCTGCTTTCAGTGGATGACAGCGTCGAGAAGGTCACAGATCATGCTAACCTCAAAATATAGCACAATGATCATATTTTATACAAAAATTTGTTCCATTTCTTGTATTTGATTGGCAGTGTGGTCTTCTGAGAGTGCTGCCACTACTGGGATGTTTTTATCACTACATCAGTCTGTCCATTATTAGTGCAAATTTTTCATTAGTAGTGCAAATTCTGCAGTTTACGTCGTTACACTAGTAGGTGACTGCAAGTGACCGAATGAGTGAGTCAATTGAATAGTTTGTTCAAAAACACTGATTTATTCGGGAACTAGAATTGATAGCTAGAATTGACTTTTTGAGTGAGTCATTAAATTATCACAGGAATAAATGTTTTAAATAAATATATTAATATAGAAAACATATATATGTTTTCATATATATTTTATTTTTATCAAATAAATGCATACTCAGTACTCACTTTATCTATTTATTTAAAAAAATCTGATCAACATTTTTTTCCCCACAGGTTTACAATATGTTGGTGGAAACCGAGGAGTTGGATAACACCTACATCATTTACATGTCTGATCATGGCTATCACATTGGTCAGTTTGGGTTGGTCAAGGGCAAATCAATGCCTTATGAATTTGACATTCGAATCCCCTTCTACCTGAGAGGGCCTAATGTGGATGCGGGTGCCATGTGAGTCAAAGATGTTAAGCTCACAACTTTACTGAGAAATGCTAAAAATAACACATTGTTGATTCTTTGTGTTCTTTGTGATCTCCTGTAGTAATGCTCACATAGTCCTGAACATTGACCTTGCCCCTACCTTACTGGACATGGCCGGAGTGGATATTCCTTTGGACATGGATGGCAAGTCCATCCTCAAGCTGTTAGAAAAAGAAAGACCGGTCAACAGGTACTTATTGAATTGTGCTGGATAATGACACTATTGTATTCTGTAGAGCTACTATTTAGCTGAATTGAATTTGTTTTATAATTGATGCATGCAACATCGACACTTATTGAAATGAGTTGAATCAACATTGAACCGACTTTAGCTGAATAACAGCACTGTTGCCTTCTGTAGAGCAGATTATAACTGAATTTAACTTGTCTTCATATTCTTTCAGTTTTACCAGGTTTCATTCCTACAAGAAGGCGAAAGTGTGGCGGGATTCGTTTCTTGTAGAGAGGGGGTGAGTACATTTGATCAGGCCAGATGAACCCATGCATTTTTAATTGAACGCCATATCACAAACTCTTACACTGTATCGCTCTGAAAAAGATTTTTAACCCCAGAAATTGATTAGACACGGCTCCATTAGAGAGACACCAGATGGCACACTGACATCGGACACATCTGCATGTTTTGAATAGGGGCTGTATCTGATTCTTTGCTGTTTTTGGGTGGCAACCTGATGTGATCTGTTTCCGGTCTACAGGAAGCCTCTGCATAAGCTAGCAGATGGCAAAGAGGTGGAACAGAATTCGCTGCCAAAGTATCAGCGGGTCAGAGACCTGTGTCAAAGAGCTGAGTACCAGACGCCCTGTGAGCAACCAGGGCAGGTAAATATTCACTTTCAATTACCACTGCATATTCACTTGATTATTTCCAGTGATTTCCCTGCTGTCCATTTGTCTAGTGCTTTCTAACTAACCGCTCCTCCTCTGTGCAGAAGTGGCAGTGTATTGAGGATCACACTGGCATGCCGAGGCTGTATAAATGTAAAGGGATGGCGGGTCTCTATGCACCTCGTGCTTTGGGCCTGATGGCTGCCAACGGGGGACAGATCAATGGAGCTCGTTCCGCATCATACCACTGTGATTGTGAGCCCACTGTACCTGTCAAGAGGAAGAAGGCACTCACTAAAAAGAGTGAGTCATTCTATAGTTTCACACGTTTGGTCCTGAGAGTGTCATAGTGTTCTTGCTTGGTTAGTGGTTAAATTGTAAGAAGGCTGTTTTTCTGCTTACAGAAAAGTCCAATTGTAATTTTATTTTTTGGTGGATGGATATAATTGATTCAAAATAGTCCAAATGTAAAAGGGGTAGTTCGAAGGTGGTTTATAATGCCCAAAGAAAGGTATCTGTTATTCTCATTTATCTCAGTGACAATTGCTTTTATGGTGCAGGAACCCCTGGAAGTATGTGATTTGAAATCTGTTCACTGATTCATTTCATGCTTTTAAAAGCTCACTGAAACAAACTGGTCATGGGTAAAACATCTACTCTAATATAATAAAATATATTATATTTATACACTCTCATTTAAAAGTTTGGGATCAGTAAGATTTTTTGTGTGTGAAGAAAGAAATTAATACTTTTATAATAAAAATATAATAAAAGATTAGAGTAATGATGCTGAAAATTCAGCTTTGCAATCACAGAAATAAATTACAAGTATATTCAGATAGAAAGCAGTTGTTTTAAATAATAATTATATTGTACAATATTACTTTTTTCTAATATTTCTTTTTTTTCTTTCTATGGAACAAAAAAGGAAATATTTTGCAGAATTTTATGTGGTTCTCTTTTCCATACAAAGTGGATGGTTTTTTACAAACAAACAAAAAAAAAAACACCTGTTCTTTTCTGTGCAAATGTCTCTTCCTGGTGGTTGATTATTTTCACATGCAAATATAACATTGGTTTAAAAAATAATTTTATAGTAAGAAATTCTATAAGCAATATTTCAATGTTAATTCCAGAGTTGAAGACCAAGAAGAGTTTGCCACGTAATCGTTGGGCTCGCTCTATTCCTTATCACTTGGATTCAAATGTGTACACTCTGGATCTGGAGAAAGGCTACCAGCCCCTCAACCTCAACTCCAGCCTTATGCTAGGGAGAAAGCAGGCAGTGCATGGAGAAAATGTAGAATATAGCGGAATGGGACCCACAGACAACAACTTCAACCCCCTCACGTCACCCGCTGCTCTTAAAGTCACCTACAGGTACAACTCAGACAGTTGGTTACTGTGAATGATAACAACTACTCAGTGAAAGTCTAATAACCATACTTACTTGTTTGAAACCTGTGGTTTCTATGAATGAGATAGACAACTGAAAAAATAACATAACTTTTTTGCTCAGATGCTCAATACTGATGAACGACACAGTCAGGTGTGATGGTGGATTATATAAATCTCTACAAGCATGGAAAGATCACAAACTACACATTGAGCATGAGGTAAGATTATAAAGTCGCTCTTAGATGATTTGAATAAAAACATTCAACCATGTGAAAAGTAGGGTAATTCTTAGATTTTACTTTGAACCACTTTTTGCTCTTCAAATAGATTGAGACACTGCAGACCAAAATAAAGAACCTCAGAGAGGTCAAAGGACATCTAAAGCAGGTTCGACCAACAGAGTGTGAATGCAACCAAAACACGTAAGCCTGACAACACACTCTTCATAAAAGGTTTGCATGCTTTCATTTCACACAATTGATGTAATCATGTAATGTTTTCTCTAAAGGTATCAGTACAAGAATAGGGGACTGTTCAAACTCAAATCAGGCCAGATGCATTCTGTCAAGTAGGTTTTCATTCATCATTGGTCATAAACTGAAGGAAGACACATTAACGCCTTATCACTAATGTTACAATCTAACATAGTTGACAGTTGATTACAGTTTATACTGAAGATATCTGCTCTTTTAATCTAGTAAAATGACCTCCAAAGATAAGAAACAGTGGCTGATGAAAGAGCAGAAACGCAGGAAGAAGCTGAGGAAGCTCCTGAAGCGCCTCCGTAATAATGACACTTGCAGCATGCCTGGCCTCACCTGCTTCACCCATGACAACCAGCACTGGCAGACCGCCCCCTTCTGGACAAGTACTGCATAGCATATCACATTCATTTTTTCATATTTCAAACAAAAACGTATTAAATATGTTTGCTTGATTAAATAATGATGTCATTTCACTTATATTATCTTTTTGTGTTGTCAGTGGGGCCATTTTGTGCTTGCACCAGTGCCAACAATAACACTTACTGGTGTCTGAGGACTATCAATGAGACACATAACTTCCTATTTTGTGAGTTTGCAACTGGCTTCCTAGAGTATTTTAATCTGAACACAGACCCTTATCAGGTAGGCCTTTCAAAAACGTTTATAAAATCTTTTTTTTTCATTATCGAAGAAGATGAGTTCAAATAATCATGGGGACCCCCATCCTTTCCACTTGTTATTTTCTGTGTGCAGCTGATAAATGCCGTGAGCACAGTTGATCGTGATGCAGTGAATCACATGCACCAGCAGCTCATGAAACTGCGCAGCTGCAAAGGTCACAAAGAGTGCAATCAGGAGACAGGTGAGTCATGCCACATGATGAATGTCTTAGCATTGATGTTGCATTTCAACATAATATCTGTAAACATACAATCTATAACCCAATAACACATCATTATGTCTTACAGGTGGTAAAGAAAGAAATTCTTTGTACGATTACAGGTATGGCATCATTCCTGTTTCAAATGGCTAAATAAAAAAGATTATTATTAATATGTATTCGTGTGTGTGTGTGTGTGTGTGTGTGTGTGTGTGTGTGTGTGTGTATACAACTGTTCTAAAGGGATAAGAGATCAGATTTTTTTAAAAGAAAGTATTAATGTATTCAGCAAGGGAGCATTAAATTGATCAAAAGTGACAGTAAAGTCAACTATAATGCTACAAAAGATTTCTGCTTCATAAATAAAATAAAGTATTTTCTATTCAGCAAAGTATCACAATCTAAAAAATATATTAAGCAGCTCAACTGTTTTCAGCATTGATAATAGTAAGAAATGTTTTTTGAGCAACAAATCAGCATATTAAAATGATTTCTGAAGGATCATATGACACTGAAGACTGGAGTAATGGCTGATGAAAATTCAGCTTTGCCATCACAGAAATAAATCATATTTTAAAATATATTAAAATAGAATATTTATTTAAAACTGTATTAATATTTCACAATATTTCTGTTTTTATTGTATTTTTGACTAAGCCTTCCAACCTTGGTGAGCTTAACAGACTTTTTTTTAAACTGAAAAAATCTAGTTATATGTTTGTGTGATCATTACAATATTTTTTAATTATTATAAAGTATTTAATTATTAAATTTAATTCAAGCATCTTGCAGACATTGCCATGGTTCTTCTGGATTTAGTTTGTCTCAGTTTTTTCTGTTTCTTCATGTCATTCCAGACAGACTGGATGATGTTGAGATCAGATCTCTGTGTGAAGCGCTGACTGTTGTCAGACTCCTTGCATACAAAAATCTCACTGCATTATTACAATTAATGACAAAAGGAATGTTTGGAAATGTAAACTGATACATACTGACACTACAGGAAAGGATAGAAATAACTGGCTTAAAAACCTTTTTTTTTTTTTTTTGTTAGTGAAAATATTAATAGCCTAAGACTTTTGCACATTACTGTGTGTGTATCTAGTTCATTTATATTGTCTATTTTTTATCTTTGTTATATGTGTTTGTGTTTTTGCTGGCATGGGGTGCTGTGTGTGTGTGCTCCACATGCTTCAGGCCTCTTCATCGTCGAAAGAGGCCAAAAGTGAAGAAACCGTCCTCCAAATCAATGTGAGTTTGTTGTACACACCATCTGCTTAATATAACTGAGCCAGCCAGTTATCTGCATAAATCCTCAGTAGCCCTCTTCCCTCTGTCATACAGTGTATGTTCATGCTGTCCCGTGCTTCATGAGCAGCTTTTCAATTCTCCTGACATTCCTTTAGATGCACACGTGACAACGAGTCCTTCATTACTGATAAAAAAGTGTGTTAACAAAGTACAGAGAGATACAGAGCGTCCCACTGCCATAATTACACATTGTCCTCATTTTGTACTTGACTTTCTTTTGTCTTTATGTTGTTCATATTCTGCTCAAACCTGGAGTTCCGATATCAGAACTACGATTTGTTATTGTCTGTTTACTCAGGGGCCAAATTTGGGAAGGATGGGTAGGTTAGATCTGTCTCTACTATCCACTGTGAAGGATGCGCAGAGGTGAGGAATGTGAACCAATGAACTCCTGACCCGAGGACAGCAAAGTAAACTCTGCAAACGTCCAGCTATAATGAAGTGTGGAATCGGAGATAGTGTGGTCATCTCATTTCCTCTCTTGGTGCAGTTCATTAATTTTTCTATTTCCATTTTTTTGATTCACTACATTTTTTGTGAACTTTTTAATGAAAAACTTCCATCATAGAAACTTTTTATCATAATGAACTTCTGGTGTGGATTTTTTTTTTTTAATGAGCCAGTCTCTGTCCAGTCAAGCACATAACATTTTGTGGCTAAGATCGATCACCTTCACTGCTCTCAAAAGACAAGAAAAAAGACAATCTATTTTTCAATAAACACACTACTTCTTTATCATTCCTTTAAGACTGTGGGACTCTGATACTGTGTTAATCACAGGGCGGGTGTGCTCTGACTTCTCTGCTGCTGTGGATATTGTAATATTACTCTCAAAGTGAAAATCCCAAGGAAACGTCATAATACTTTACACATGCTGTGCTATAATGATGTTAATGTCAACTGCAACCTATGTGATTCTCTTCATGGAAATGTTGCTTTTTGAAACAGTGCTACTGTAAGTAAGTTAACACTTGGAACTGAATGCTGCATAGTATGTATTTAAATGTATGTGCAATTAATGTAAAAATTAGAATATTTTTTACCAGACTGAACATACAGGAGTTTCTTTTCGTGAAAGGAGAGCACCCTCAGTTTAACCAAGGTTTTACATTTGTCTGAATGCACTTATTAATAATAACCAACTAAACAGTGTTTGAGTAATGTTATGTTATTATAGTAATGAAATTTCAAATATTTGTGTAGTTGTCATCACAAACAAATTCCTTCCTTTTTGCTGTTTTCCTTTGCCTTGAAATTTGGAAAACAATTAAGGTGTAGTAGTTGGTGAATAAAGTGTTAAATACCCATGTGTACTTCTTTTATATTCCCCATAGGTATTTTTTCTCAGAAAGAACACAAAAATGTAACAACTTAAACAGAAATTAGGAAAAATAACAACTAAAGCCAGCCTAAAACTGCTCTATACTGGTCTCTCTGCCTGGTTGGCCTGGCTGTTGGCTGTTTAGTCCAACTATTTTCAGCAGTATTATACATTTTCTGACTTATTTTTTTACTTATAAAAGAGATTTCTGTGGGTGCTGGTCTCTATTTAAGTGGATTATAGGTGGATAGCCTATGCTTATGATTTATTTTACCTTGCTTCCAAACAAGAACAAAACCAACTGGTCTTAATTGGTTTCTTCTTTTTAGTTGGCCAGACTGACTTGAGATAATTTGACTGATCAGCTAAATCAGCTAAACACCATACTGGCCAGGCTAAGAGACCCGTTTAAACCAACTAAAACCAGCTTGTCCAGGCAGCGAGGCCAGATAGACAGCTTAATTTTAAACCATCACACATATATTGTGTATTTTCAGCAGTAAATTACATTACTGAGGATATTGAAGTTTGTGCTCCTCGTTTACAACATGTTGCCTAGTTCGCCAGCAGATGGCGCTTTTTGAATAACCCGATATAAATCCCTTCAGGCAATCAAACATGAATCCAACTCCACCTGAACTTGCACCTGTCGTGTAGTATAATCCAACCCCAAAATATGTAGTTTGTTTCACTACACTTTTTGGGCGTCACACTTGCTCAGTGTGCAGCAAACCGGAGTGGCTTGTCTGTGTGTGTAGGGGGTGGGGGCAGCAAACCGGAGTGGCTTGTCGGTGTGTGTAGGGGGTGGGGGGGGGAGAGAGAGAGAGAGTTGCCCACGAGACACCCTCAGCAGCACGGGCTCGACTCGAGCATTCAGGACTCTGAACACATCCCGAAGCCGAAGCAGGACGTCCGACAGGACTAGGGGATAAAGTTTTACCATCTTTACCCTGTCCTTTTATACTTTTTGTGGTTTAACCGTACAATGTGAGGACAATGGCCGGGACAAGGTAAGTTTCAATCTTTTTTTGTTGAAAATGTAGCAAGTTTTGACCATAGACTGTAAAAAAACACGAGGGGTTAGCGCGGTGTCTCTTCAACGTTAGCCGCTCAACTAGTTTGAGCTATGTAAATTAATTATTACTTAACGGGCAACTACAAATACTTCATTTGCTATAGAAATCTCCGATAAAGCAGTATGAAGGAAAATATGGAGATTGTGTGAATGAAGTGATGATTTTCCTACGACTTCACGACTCACGAGGGTCCAGTCTTATGTGATATTTTGCTCTGTTTGCTGCTGTCGACAGTCGTGTTATAAAATCAGCATCACTGCTGGAGACCAACTGTTTCGACCATATGTATGTGATTTGAATTGAATTGACTTCACTAGCTCGCTCACAGGAACCCGCCGATCATTGGCTGTTTGGACTAGTATTCCTTTTACTGTAATCTGAGACTGATCTAATCTGATACTAGTAAAGATTCAACTACAGCGCTGTTCAGTGATCTCGAGACATTCAACAAAACAGGTTTCACAACTTTATCTGTCATTAGTTTTAAAATAGTAACATTTCCCCTTTTGATTTAATCAGACCATAGCATCTTTTACTTTTGGTCAACATGTCAAGATATTTAGATAAAGTAGGCAGTATTAAAGTCTTTTCATATTTCACTTGCTTTGAGTTCAATAACATCGCTCAGGCTCTGGTGAGCAATGATATTTACAGACCGTCATACGAAATATGGAGAATTTTGTTTTTTCCTAATTTAAGACAGTCCTATGCTTTGAGTTCAGTAATATCATACAGTCTCTGGTGATATCTATCATGTTTTTTATTAAATAGTTTAAGTTGATTGTGCTTATTTTTCTGTCACAACCATGATATTTACAATTTTGTTAAAGAATTTATTTTTTAATTTGTTTATGAAGGTATATTTAGATAATGTCCCTCCTTGTCAGATTAGTCAGCGGCACATGACACCAGATGGCTACTCCCTTTGATACACAAATAGTATGAAAAATATGGTTATTTTATTAACATCTGTGACAATTAATAGTGCTTAAAATTCAAAAACATCCTATACGCTCAGTTCATTCATACATTGAAGTGTGGGATTTGTCAATATTTTTATATGGTATAATGGCTCATTCTTTCCAAACTGATGGTGTTGACATGCACATTTTGTGAAAAAATGGAAGATTCGGGAAGTTGAACCCAAACACCCCCGAACATGTTAATCAAAATAATTCCTTCATATGTAAATTATATGTTTTTTGTCTGTTTTGTAGCCCATTTTGTCCCAGTACTCAAAAATCAGTGTTGTATGAGATAGTTGTATAGTGAATCTGGTCTAATTCACAAGTGTTGTATTCAAAGCTGCTTAATATCGGCTGATGGTTACAGGAAACCACCAGAACCCTCATTGATATCCCACAAAACCTTTACTGTGGTTAGAAGCACTGAAGTCACATAATGTGAGCTGGGGACAAATATTGCATTTGCTGGTGCTGCACTGTCAGAAAAATACAGAGCATCTGCTTAGTGCAGGGTTACAGATGTAAGAATTTCGAATGTACAGATGTACGAATGTATTAAATTCATTAAATTAAAATGTAGTCTAACCTCTTTTTCCACACTGAGCTTGAGCTTATGACACAGATGCTTAAGTGTAAATAGATGATAAAAGGTGGTTGAAAGACTTCAGCTGTTTGATGTAACACACTACCAAACTTTGATCAGCCATAGTATTGATGTTTCTCTGTTTCTCTTTCCAAGTTCCCTGTTCAGAAGCTGCATTGGACACTTGATGCTTTTAACATTGCCGTGTCTCTATACGGCTGAACTTTGAAGCTTGTTTAAAATGCTTCAGATGGCGTTGTATTTTTGCACTACTCTGAAGGAACTCTAATATTAGAGACTGTTGGTAGGAGTTAATGGGCACTTTTGTGGTCTGTTCCAGCTTTTCAGTCCCAGCTAGTGAGTGTAAATGTATGTTTTGACAAGCTGAGGTTTATCTTTGATCCAGAATGGGATCTCACAATAGGATGTTTTTCCCCTGTCTGCATGTCTGGTGCACAATAGTGTAATAGTGCATTGTGACAGCAGTTTAGCACCAGTGTTTTAACAAGACCTTTGAGCTCAATGTGAAAAGCACCCAATGGCCTGTCTCCAGCGCTCTGCCTGCAGGGTGTGCTGCGTGGGCCAACGAGTTGCTTTTCTATTCCAGTTTTGTTTGTTTTCTAGTCAGATGTAGTCAGATGATGATGCTGTTCTTTTGTATTGATGATATACTGTGAACCAGTGCATCACAAATAGTTTTGTGGTTTTTAAAATAATACAGTGAATTTCAGCTGTCATCTATGTCACAGTTCGTTTTTGTTGCTCTGGCAAAGACATTGATACTGCATCACTTTTGAAGGTGCAATTTTCAAAGGATGTGCACAAAAATGTTTTTAAGACTATTTGCCTTAAATTTAGTGGAAATTCAATACTGTGAATGATTAATTAATGCTTGTTTCATTTTTTAAAAAGCTTAATATTTTGGCTCGTAATTCTTAATCAATGAAATCATTCAACCTTCCTATGAAAATTAGTTTTCTCTGGTGACATATGCAAGACTTCTCCAATCATTTAGTCCACTTAAACCCTGCCTCTTTCTGACATTCTCACAAATTCACATTCAGATCGGCCTCCAATTGACAACCAATGCATAGAACCACATTCCCACCCTCCTCTTTTTCATGTCCCCATTATTTTGATAATCTATTTTACTCACGTCACAATACAGAGAAAAAGATCTGTTACTACTTTTTTTTTGTTTCTTTATCAGAACAAATTTGGAGAAATTTAGAATCACATCACTTGTTCACCAATGGATCCTCTGCAGTGAAAAAGGTGTCTTCGGAATCAGAGTTCAGACAGCTGATAAAAAGCATCACAATAATCTACAAGTAATCCACATGACTACAGTCCATCAGTTAACTTCTTGTGAAGTGAAAAGCTGTGTGTTTGTAATAAACAAATCCATTGTTGTGACATTATTGTGACTTCAAAACATCTATAATACTGCTTTCTCCAGTGAAAACATCTTGTCTGAATCAAGAGCGAAATATGCACAGATCGTTTAGAAGTGAAAACTGTTCTAAACAAATAAGTTGGTGGATTTTGATGTGGGAGGACAAGAATGGATGTACCTTTTCATTATTTCATTCAACACCCGCCTGTTTGCATGTTGCCTGCTTTACATGTCAACGTTAATGGCCCAGCAAATAACAGTTGGAGATTATTTGATGCCTGCATTATTTGATCAGTCTTTTGAAACACTTTTATTATTATTATATTAGTGTTATTAGAATTGTTTTATTGGTAATAATTAGCTTTCTTACATCTCGTCTCCTGTGTTTGTTCAGGATGGGGCACTTAAAATACATCTGATGACCCCACCTTAATATTTGAATTTGCACCATTAATGTGCTAATCTTCTGCAAAACTTCAGGCCTGTAGGCAGAAAGCATTATTTTGTTCTTGTCCTTACTTGGACCTCTGTGCTAACAAATGTTAACAACTCAATCAGTTGGGCATTCAGGGCTGCCATTCCCATCTCCTAGGAGCTCGCTTTGACAACATTGTCCTTTGAGGTGGTTAGGTGACCTCTGACCCTCCTCCCACCCAGTCACCCAGCATGGCCGTCGACACTGAGAGGAAATTTGATGCGTTGAATTTGATACTTTTAGTAGATGGTAGAGTTTAACTTGTCCATATGACACTTACCGGGCATGTTATGATAAAGTCATCATGTACAGCAGAAATGGTCAGCTCAGGGAACAGTTAATCTCTTTTTATCTTACTGAAACTTTACAGTTGTCTCTGTATTTCAGAATGAGATGTTCATTCAAAAGTAGTATTAATACTGACGTTGACAGCTGGTAGTAGACAAGCGACTCTGTATTTGAGCACACATCTATGCTGCTAACTTCATAGACAACTTCAGTGTGTCTTACCCCCTCACACATGTCCATTTATGTCTCACTGTTGCTGTCAATGTGCTTGTTTGTCCTGAATAAGTCCTTTGGCGTTGTGTGTGTGCATGCCTGCAAACGGTGGGCTTGTCAGATTTGTCCCCTCTAGAAAGAGGATTTATTGTTTTGCTAACACAGTTGTTGTTTGGCAGTTACAGACTTCCTGCCTGGAGTAGGTATAGTGTTTCCGGCAGCACTGTCCACTGAGACAGGAAGTAGTTCAGCAGCAGTGCGGACAAAAAAAGCCATATAGCACATACAGGCTGTGCATCATCCCAATGAGGTCAACTTTTCTTGCTTTATATACAGAGAATTCCCGGAAAGGGGGTTGTAGCATCTCAGACCCCTTATCCTTACACCAAAGCCCCCACCCCCCGCCCGCGCTAAGGCACAACTCACATTCTGATTGGCCAGTAGTGCCTTGAGAGCTTTAATTGTAAAGGGGGTTGTTCCAAATGAATAGAGGCTGATGGTTGAGCTAACAATGCTCTCCATTGTCATGTGCCCATTAGTAATGGGTGGAATTCTCACATATTGTCATGTATATGATACTGACGTAGTACAATTTGGCTAGACGGTTTGATGCCCTCTTTCGTTGAACGCAGCACTTAAGTACTGTCTGCTTTAGCTATGATTGTCTCAGGAAAGGCAAGAGACATTAGCCACATGATTTCCACATTTACACTACATACATTTTTTTCTTTGCTTAATCATTATTTTGTCTTGTTTTCCAATAAAAATATCTTAAGATACATAAATAAATAAATACATAAATAAATATGCATTTAGAAAATGTGATTTTTTTTCTCATGCCACCTTTAAACATGTTTAGATATTTGTACTGGAAAACAAGTAAGACATTTTTATTTTTTTGCATAACTATAGGGGTGTTTTGGCATCTCGTGATCATAAACAAGAAATGTAGATGAGTCATACCTGTATCTGTGATTTTCTAGCACTGCATCTCTTGACAAGCTGTTAGTGTTCAAAAGAGAGTGTATCACTACATTACAAACTAGTTGTTTGGTTCTGATCATTACACACTCTGCAGTTCGGTTGTCACTACCTGAATTTTAAAATTTAGAAATTTGAAATATACATTTTTTAAATGATAATTTGTAATACAATTATTACTTCTGTAAATAACCAACTGGAGTGACATCTGTGTTTAGTAGTGGTTAAACAGATCGTAGTTGATCCGTGATCCGTACGGACCAAGCCCCACGGTTCGGCATGCATGTGATCTGCGGATTAATTGCAAAATGTAACCATAATAGAGTATAAGTTTATAATTTGTTCGTATTTACACAAGCAAGCGAATTTTAAACAATTCCAGAGAGAAAAGGCAAAAGGGAATTCGATTCGTTACTCGCGCGCTGGTCTCTACGCGCACAGCCGCACACACATGAAGCACGCACACACGTTTCAGACGGCGCTTGAACACCGAACTGAATCCTCTTCTGAATCCTCTGAACAGCCACATACACATCAAATTATGACAAAATACCCATCTCGACAATCATTCAGGTAAACGCAGTTAGTTATGTCTCAAGTGAATGAAAACAGCTGAGAAAGAAATCGTCTCAGGTTACTTATGTAACTTGCTATTATATATGTATTTTAAGTCATTTTAAAGGCTATTGTTCACTTACATCTATTTTTATTACCACAAAAAAAATTATTATAATTATAGGGCCCTATGAAATCCGTTTTATTTCCATATTCAGTTTTTTTCCATTTTCATTTTTCTATACTCTGTTTTAATGGTTAAATTAAATTTTATTAATTAAAAAGCCTGTCTAATTAATTGAGTTTTACAGTTTTATCTTTACCAAATTCTGTTTTCTATTATTTTCTGGATTCCATTTTAATGGTTCCATTAAATTTTAATAATCAAAAGCATCTTGATTATTAATTGATTTTATTATTATTATTATAATTTTTTTTTTTTTCAGAAATACTGCACATTTACATTTTTCTCCTAAATAAATTAACATTTCT